CTGTAAGTATAAAGTATATACAACGAGCGTATGGATATAATATAATAACTCATAACAAAATTTATTTAGGGAGAAAATGGCGAAAATAGATTAAATCTACCTACAAAAAATTTATGTATTGGTGGTACTGAAAAGAAGGAAGTATTGCAGCCCATCGATTGGGAAACTCTAAATAGAAATGTTGTAAGAAAAATATTAAAAATCTACAAATTAAGATATCGATTTATTTGTTTTACTCATATAAAATATTTTTTATTACAGGAAGAATATAAAAGGTTACAGTGGGCGCATCTTCCAAAGCTGAGAAAAAATTTTTATCAAGAAGCCGAGGAAATCGCTATTATGACAGAGGAAGAAGTCAATGAAATGCGTTTAGTAAACAACAATATAATGGTTTCACGTTTGAAAACAAGTGAAGACCAATTGTGTCTTGATATACCAAAACCTATTTACAAATTCGAACACTCTTTCAAAGATTATCCTGATATACTTGATGAGTTGAAGAAACAAAACTTTACGGAACCATCACCTATACAAAAGCAAGCATGGCCTATATTATTGAGAGGCGAGGATATGATAGGTATTGCTCAAACAGGAACTGGAAAAACTTTAGCATTTCTGCTTCCTGCCTTGATTCATACTGATGGACAGACTACACCACGTACGGAACGCAATGGTCCAAATATATTAATTTTAGCTCCAACACGCGAATTAGCACAGCAAATAGCAAAAGAAGTTAATAAGTACTCGTTCCGTGGAATAAAAGCGTAAGTTAAAAAATAGTTTAAAACAAATGAATAGAAAAATAAATAATATTAAAATTCTTGTTCAGTGTATGCATTTATGGTGGTGGAAGTCGTCGTGAGCAGATCAGAGATTTCAAAGAAGGAGCTGAATGCATAATTTGCACCCCTGGACGTCTTAATGATTTGGTTCAAGCTAAAGTTATAGATATTACATCCGTTACATATTTAATATTAGACGAAGCGGACCGTATGCTGGATATGGGTTTCGAGCCACAGATTCGAAAAGTTCTACTTGACATACGCCCTGACAGGCAGACCGTCATGACTAGTGCCACCTGGCCACCATGTGTTAGTAGATTGGCCGAAACCTATATGAACAATCCTATTCAGGTATGGGTTGGCTCACTTGATTTAACTGCCACTCATTCTGTGACTCAAAATGTAGAACTCGTGGATGATGCGGACAAATTTAATACGGTAATATTATTTGAAAAGTTAAATAAAGAAAACTTTGAAGAAAAATGTATTTGTTCCTGTTACAGGTCCTGACATTTTTAAAAAACCTTAAATCAAGCGATAAAGTTATTATCTTCTGTTCTAAACGAGCTCGTGCTGACGACTTGTCTAGTGATTTATCTCTGAAAGGCCTGTTAACACAATGTATACATGGTTCTCGTGATCAGGTACATAATACATTAGTTTTATTAGAGTAATGCCTCTGTGCATAAGATTCTTATAAACTCAAACAAATTTTCTTTAGGCCGATCGAGAACAAGCACTGGCTGATCTAACCTCAGGTGACATACAAATTTTAATAGCAACAGACGTTGCTTCAAGAGGTTTAGACATTGAAGACATCACGTAAGTGCTTAGTAGTATTAAAAACCGAAGTTGTGAAAAATTTTTTTTTCTTAGTCATGTTATTAATTTTGATTTTCCGCGTAACATTGAGGAGTATGTTCATCGTGTTGGTAGAACTGGACGCGCTGGGCGAACCGGCACTGCCATAAGTTATATAACACGCTCGGATTGGGCTATTGCAAAGGATCTCATTCGTATTTTGGAAGAAGCTGGCCAAGCAGTTCCAAAAGAACTATACGGAATGTCCAATCGCTTTGACGAGATGAAAAAAAGACGTGGTAAAGATTTTAAAATGGGTAGTCATTTTAATCCTTTTTTTAAACACAGTACACCGTAGTGGTACTCATTTTTAAGATTAACTTAGAAACAGTTAACTTAGTAACTTGACCACAACATTGCATTTTGTTTTTCACATTACATCTTAAATAACCGCAATGTTTGATTCAAATCGATCAGTGTTTTACTTAAATGAACGTTGATCGCTAAAAATTAAAAATAATTAAAAAACTGTTTCTAATGTTATTCGAATAATACTGTACAATATGAAAAACTTGAAATAAAATTAAATAAAAATTAATAGTACTTCTATTTGAATACAAAACTCTATTTTAGGTTAATTTTTTATATAAAAAATATATACTGTATGTATATGTATATTGTTATACATGAAACTTTGTTCGTTTAATAAATTTAATGAAGTACAACTGTGGGAACGCTTTTTGAAAAACTATGATAATTATATTGTGTTCTTGCTTTTTCATTTATAAGGGTTTCAATTTTTATTTAAAAGTAACATATTTTATTTGAAATATTTTTAAGATGGATATTAATCCTTTGTACAGATAATTGTGTGTGAACGACACATAATATAGTAATAACTTACTATAGATCCTTAATCTGGTTTAGCTTGTTAGCCCTTTGTGTGAATTAGCTTCTGCACTTGTCACCCAAACTAATCGATAAGAGTGATAACAATTACGATTGATTGATTTTTTATTGTATTTCTAAACTTTATTAAAATAATTTAATATGTTTATACAAAATATTATATATAAAAAATATTGAATTATCCTTATTCTCTTCACAGAATCTACAGTTTGCATCCGTAAGTATCCCCAGTATTGTAAGGTGGTGTTTCATTCTACAGTGCCCTGTTAGAATGCCTGTAATGATTCTAAGCTTTTCCTTTGATAGGTTCATACAATCCTGGTATCACTTATTGTTATAGGTACCAATAAGTGATTTGGATTGTTTCAATCCTAGTATATTGTCCCAATTATCCTTTTTATTTCTGTTCTCTTTTATTTTTATGAAAGAAAGTAGCGTATTATTTCCTAGTACACAAGAAGGTTCTAGTACCAACATCGGTGTAGCTGCTCCTTTCCTGGCTAGTTTGTCCGTGTATTCGTTTCCGCGTACGCCAGTATGGCGCGGTAACCAAAAAATCGACACCTGATTTAATTAGCCAAGTACGTTGTTGGTGTTATAACCCGCAGGACCTGTAAGCAGATAAACATGAAAGGAAACACAAGACGATTACATGCGTAGGGAAATAGGATAAAAGTTAGTTGGGTAATGAAGGAGAAGGAGGAGGAAGAGTAGGGAAGAGGTATATATAAATCATCATCCTGGATCCAGCCGGAGAAACTTGGCCACTTCAATGGGGTGAGTCTCAATTGAAATCTCAATTGAGCAAGGACAGTTCTTGTTGCACGAGGAAGAGAGCGTTCATCCGAGGAGATTTCAGGCGGAGACCTATTAAAAACCTTGTTGTCAGACAACCTAGGTCTAGAAGAAGATACTGCATCGGTGTGTTGAGAGCCGTAAGTCCACGTTTATATTCGACCTCACTGATGTTAGCTCCGTTACAAAAGGTGTCGATAGAATTATTAAAAGAAAGGAGAGATCGACGAATGCATCTAGGAAGGAAGGCACTACTAGTCATGACGCCATTTGGATGACCATCTGTGTGGCACGCGAGAAGATATTGCTGGGACAGTAGATAATTGTGCTCTTTTACAAGAAGCATTTTTGATTCTGCATGAAGGTGGTCGTCATGCGACATGCTATGGCAGCCAGTTGCAGCCCGTAATGCCGTGTTTTGACATGATTGGATTTTGGTCCATTGCGTCTCGCAGAGTTGTGGGGTCCATACTGGAGCTGCATAGGCCGCAATAGGACGTCCTATTGCTTTGTATGTACTCAGTAGGGTTTCTTCATCTTTGCCCCATGAACAATCTGCGAGAGCTTTTAACACATTATTACGCGATTTCAGCCGGTCACACATAGCAGACGCATGTGCAGAAAAAGTCAGCATACTGTCGAGTACGACACCCAGGATTTTAGGTTTGGTGGTGGTAGGGATCCTGATTTCACCGATATTTATGGGCAGAGTCAAGAATTCCTCTTTAGTCCAGGAAGTAAAGAGGGAGGATTAGAAAGTGCTTTAATGGTAGTCCACAATTTACCATTTTGGAGGTCGCAATTATCTAAATGTTCCTTCCATTTACTAAGACGATAATCGTCCACCATTTTACGGATGTTATTGTTCAGGATTTTTATGTGTGGATTGGTTGGGTTCAATCTTCGAAGATTGCCGCGTTCTTCAGCAAGAGGCACAGCGTCACTAGGAAAACCTGGTCTAATGGTTTTAATTCTACCTGCTGGGACGGCTGTGGCAGCAGCTTTGATAATTATGCTGCGAAATTGTTTCTCTGCCTTGTTCAAATCAGAGGACAGGGAACTGTTGCTGAAGTCGCGTTCTGAAATATCTTTGAAAAGGGCCCAATTCGCTTTTTTGAAATTCCTGTAGGTTTTCTTGTCAGCCGCAGTGAGGACCTCGATCGATGGAATAGAAATTGTGATGGGAGTGTGATCCGAGCTTAAAGCTATATCAACACTCCAATTCGAGGCAGCGAGAAGCCGAGGGCTTGCGAGACTGACATCAGGAGAGCTGGAACAGGTTGGCGTTACCCTAGTGGAGGAGTCCTCATTTAGAACACCAAAAGAGGGAATGGTGTGCATTCAAATCACCCAGAACAAAACGCGAGTCCTCATCTAGAAGATGTGAAATATTTGGGGTGTGCTGCGGAGGGCAGCTAGAGTTGGATATCAAATAGATATTGATTAGTTCAAGGAACCTTAAAGACCTACCAATGAAAATTTTTAACCCTATAATCTCCAAGTATTCGTCATTAGACGAGGGCAAAGAAAGCTCAAAATGATATGTAGAATCCCGCAACAGAAAAGCAACGCCACCTCCTGCGCCTCTAGGTCGACCTTTACGAATAAGTGTAAAGCCTGAGGGGGGAAAGAGAGGGAAGTTGGGCAAAAGTTTAGTCTCCTGCAGTGCAGCTACTGCAATGTTGTTGGAGGACATGAATGCTGCAATTTCAAATAGTTTCCTTCTTAGACCATTACAGTTGAATTGTAGAATTTTGAGAGGGGATGAACAATTAATTACGGAGACTACGCTAGTACGTTGCAGGTGTGAGTGGTTTTGTGGTGGAATAATAGGCGGAGTTTGGCAGCAATTGCCAATGAAATTTGAATTCCAACCATGATGCGAGACCAATCCGGAGCAAGGTCTAAGGTGACACCAGCCATTACAAGAATTCCAATCACTTGAAGAGTCCTATTGGGGGATGTTAAACGATTCTTGGTCGTCGTTGATGACGAGTGGCTCCGGGACGTAGACCCGACCGTTTGTGGAACCAAGCAGGCCATATAATAGACATGCCAAGGCCATATAATAGACCTCGGCATGTCCAACCTAGATTATACCCTGCATATGAAAGTTTTAGATGAGCTAGACTCTGATCATAAACCGGTTCTATTCATTCTTCCCATGAACTGTTCCATGAACACTATGACCCCTACGTTATCTACCAGCGACTGGAACGCGCTCAAGAACTTGGTAGACGTTAGCTGCATCAAAAACCATCCAGAAACCTCAGAAAAATTGGATAACTGTATACAGAACCTGGCCCATCTATTAAAGCATGCCTCTGATAGCTCCACCCTCAAATATAGGAAACCATACAGTTATTTTAACTTACCGCAGCCTATTAAAAACATGATTAGAAATCAAAATAGAATCCGGAAATTTACTCAAATAACGGGTGACCCGGAGAGCAGAAGGGAGGCCAACCGTCCTTCAAGTGAAATCAGGAAAAAGATTTATATATTTAAAAACGTGAAATAGGGTGAATTTCTCAAGGGTCTTGGAACAGCCTTTTGGGTCATAAATAAGTACTTCAGCCTGAAGCGTAAACCAGTAATACCACCCATCCATAGAGTAACAGGCTTGGTATATACAGATTTAGAAAAAGCCGTGACCTTCACAGACACCCTTGAACTTGAATTCCAGCCCAATGAAGACTTAGAATATGACTCAGAGGAAGAAGAACGTATCTCCGAGGAGGCAAATAATATTTTGGATCAGGAGCCAGATGATGGCACTGCAGTATGCAGTAACGAAGAAATCTCCCAAATTATAGCGAGATTGAAGATTAGGTCGGCACCTGGCCATGATATAATTAACAACAGATGCCTACGTAACCTGCCAGAGAACGCAATCCAGCTTATCACTAACATTATTAATTGTATGCTCAGGCTAGATGAATTTCCTAAGACCTGGAAGCTGGCCACAGTCATTGTCTTCCCTAAACCGGATAATAATGACCTGTCCACGGCACTTCAACTAGCTAGAACGGCGGAAATGATTCAAACAGCCCTTAGTGGAAGAAAGTCGACTGGAAAGATCATTTTTGATATTTATAAAGCTTTTGACAAGGTCTGGCATGATGGCCTGATAGTAAAATGTCTGATCTAGGTGTTCCAGGCAGGCCAACTAAAATCATCGGCAGCTTCTTACGTGAGAGATCCTTTCGCACGAAAATCAACAGCGATCTCTCGTCAATCAGAATTATAGAAACAGGGGTTCCTCAGAGATCTCCACTTTTCCCACTCTCTACAACATTTATACATCTAATATCCCAATGTTAGGTCCATCGATTTTGGTGTTATACGCTGACGACACGTATATGCTATACCTGGATAAATGTGTTCTCAACACAAGCAAAACATTTCAAGAGCATGTTGACGTCAAGATTGATCCGATCAAAGAATACATAAAGGATAGAGCCCTGAAATTATTTACGAAAACTGACAGACTTACTAACACCGCGTTATCGAATCTTAGAATGGTTACGGGCTCCTCGAAGAGGTATGCAGATCTAAGCGTAATTATTGGTAAGTCTGATGAAGTGATAAGATTGATCAAGATTAAGATTGATCCGATCAAAAAATATATGAAGGATATGGACCTGAAATTATTTACGAAAACTGATAGACTTACTAACACCGCGTTATCGAATCTTAGAATGGTTACGGGCTCCTCGAAGAGGTATGCAGATCTTAGGTTAATTATTGCTTAGTTTGATGAAGAGATATACAATAATCCAGTTAGGGCGTAGAGAGGGGTTTTGCAGAAACCTCGCAGTTAATAGAGAGTAAAAGTGCTTAAGTGCACTGACTCAA